GGGCCAAGGAAAAAGCAGCCAGCATTTTGGTCCTTGCCCTCTTAGGTTGGCCAGAATCCAGGGAATCATGGGGACCCGTCTAAGGGCCCTGCAACTCCTGTGAGTCACAGGACCTCCCAATCAGGGGGATTGAGAGGACCCTAGAGAACAGGAAGCCACCCAGTGCACATTCTGCAAAGAGGAGGGTCATTGGAGAGGGGAATGTCCCTGATGATTCCAAGGGAAGCCACATGGGTCAGAAAGGCCCTCACACTTCCTGGCAGATGATATAACTGGTAGAGGAAAAGCTAAAGGAGCTAAGAGGCTTCTCACAAGTTCCCAAGAATGATCCCTGACAAATCTCAGCTGACTATAACAGTAGATAGGGAAAAGGCCAATTTTGTCCAACTTGGTCTTAAACACCTGGCAGAAGAGTATAACCAAAACGTAGCCTTTAATGGACATCTAAAAGATGGGACAATGATTCTTTTAATGTTACCTGAGATGTACATTTGTGACAGCCCTCTTGAAAAGAAATTAAACTGGGAGGTTATAAAGGAAGGGTTTTTATACAGGGTGCCTGACAAATGTCGCAAAAAGTTCTATCAGAGCCAAAACTTTGTTCTGAGTCTATTTGAGATCTGTGTTTCTTTTTCTGGTATGAGTATTATAGTTGCTGCTCAGACTCCTCTTCTGGAGTTTGCAGTTCATCACTTCCAGCCTCGCCACTTGATTTTAATCAGGATGTGGAAAGAAGACAAGCTTCAACAGAACTGAAAAGGACCTTACCAAGTGCTCCTGGTCCCTGGCATGGCTATCCAAACTGCTGAAAAGAGGAGAGCTCATTTGCATGGACAGTTTCCACCTCAGAAAGTGAATATACCTAGGATGAATGGCAATACCAAAGGGTACAAGAACAAAAGTGAGAAGGAAGCCAAAAGGTATAAAAAGAAAAGGCGGGGGGAGGGGTTGTGAGGAAATAGAAAGTCCCATGGTCCATTTTCAGAATAGAGTATTTAGCCTTAATTGGGATGTAAGATCCAATCTTAGCCATCTTAACTATAACCCTTCCTTTTGCCCTCCCCGTTTTAAAAACTGGCCAATCTTGTAGATTTTAACCCAAGCTTCTATCAGAGCCAGGGGCAGGGCTGCACTAGACACAAAAACAAGCGAACTGCCCTTCCAAGTGTGCTTGCTTGCTGCACTTTGGTAGCGCACCCTTCTGCAGAAGTAAAGTTGGCCTTGTTAAACTGCTTCTTAGCGGTGTTTGATTCCTTGCAGCACCCCAGTATCTCTAACACATAAGTAGCCAGTTCTGAGAGCAAGAGCAGAACTAAGTCAAAAATAAAAACAAATCAAAAACCAAAGCCAGGGCTCTGCCACTACTTTGACCCAACTCCTGTGACCAAAAGGACTCCACAAAAGGGCAGATGTGATTGTTCCAGTTTCTGGAAGCCCATGATGCCAGCTTCTATCCTTTTTCACAACTTGCTAAGTCCATTCCCACTTCAGGGCCTTTGCACTGGAGAGGGAAATTGCTGTTCCCTTTCCCTGGATTATCTTTTTTTTTTTTTT